TAATTATTTTGATGAGGTTTAAAATGGAGGGCGTTCGTTGCCAAAATTCTAGACATGTAAAGTGTTTATTTTGAAAAACTACTTTTGAAAATGCAAACGTGTATGCTAACATTTTTTTATTGTATTCGTGCACAGCAAATAATAAGTCTTTTAATCCAATCTTTTAATTGTAGGCACCCCGATTTTAGATAACAGTTTACATGTAGATCTTAAAAACTAACTTTACACGGAAAAACAACAAACAAATTTACCAGCTCATAACTTCCATTGCATATAATATATAAGCAAGTTTGCACCACTTATAGATATTTATATATATATTATATCTGTACATGATATATACAAACGAAATGTAAAACACGAATACAGAAAATAGAAATACAGAAAAATAGAGTTTAAAAAAAACGTGTTTTCAGTCGTAGAACTACCAAGAGTAGTTAACTCAGTAACATGTTTAAAATGACAAAAGTAGATTCACAAAGTTAAACGATTTTAAGTCATGCATCACGCCCTGCCCCTCTTTGAGTATTTACGAACTTCTGTTACGGACTGGTATAAAACCCGACGCCTCTCCCATTTTTCTCAATAAAGTGAAGGAAAACACGGCGTTCCTTCTAACTTGTTTTTTTGAATGGTCGAGAAAAAAAAATAAAGAAAAAGAATTAAATAGATGTACTAAAATTTTGGTTTAAAATTTATCAATTTTCCTCTCAAATTCGGTAAGAAAAACATGGCGTTCCCCTCCAAAGTTATTTTAAATTTCATAGTCAATTTTGATAATTTTGGATTAAAATAAAAGGGTGCTCCATAAGTTTTAAAGTCTATAATTATGTAATGACTTCAGATAAAAATGAATTGAGGAAAAATATTAAATTTTTTGTTTCAAAGTTTATCATGTTACTTTCTTAAAACCACAGTAAGAAAAACACGGAGTCCCCTACTTAGTTTTTTTTTTTATTTCTTGATCAATTTTAATTATTTTGGAGACAAATGAAAGAATCCTTCATAAAGTTGCTAGTGATGAATACATGAAGTTGGAATCGTGAATTCGTGAAGTTGAAATCGTGAAGTTGAAATCGTGAATTCATGTGGTTAAAATCATGAATTCGTGAAGATATTCAACTTTATTCAAAAATCTATGTACAAACACTTAGCTAGATATCAATAATCAGAAATAATGCGAATTGAGGGTAATGCTAACACGTGACTTTTGATGGATCAGGGACTAGTAATCTAATGATCGCAAGCCGCATGGGTTCAAACCCCGTCAAGGGCAAGTCGTTGTTTCCTTGAGCCAGAAACTTTACAGTCATTGCTCAGTACTGGTTGGTTCCAGGAACGGATTCAAAAGTGTGTCTTCAAGCTTATAGCTTCCTACACAATCGAACTAAAATAAATTCTGTATATTCTGTGATTGTTTAGTGTGCGTGTCGACACAATCAAGTTCATCTTCGTTTCCCGATAGTACTCTAAGTATTTTGATAGTTAAGTGTTGTTAAAGAAGAAGCCACTTGTAATTGGATTTTTTTTTATAATTTTGCCGATTTTCGTAAATTGACCCCAATAAACGTTATCGAATTTCTATTTCAACTGGTTAAAGATCCAATCTAAAGTTTAGTGAAGAGAGATAGATGTTGGCAAATAGATAAGTCTTTGTAGAATATTCATAGATGCTTATCAAATATTCAATTTTGCTTTGTAGGAGGGTCACACTGTGGACCGTATTACTGCACACATGGATCCTGTCAGTATTCAAAAATGAATGGGGTTGAGACCCATAATTGCACCTGTAGTCACGGTTGGCATGGTGAACATTGTGATCAAACAGGTGAGACATGTTATGAAGTTGATTTAATACTGTAGTAAAATCCAATCGGAACGTCCTCGGCTATTATTCATCCTTATCCGAAGATTGACGGAAAGAGCCGAAGGTTGCGATTGCTATAAAATCGTCTAAATATCCCACTGATGTGACATTTTGGCGAACATTGCATATATGGAACATCGTTTTCTCTTAATATACAAATACTATGCTCATCCTTGAGTAAAATATTTTTATCATAAAAATAAATTTATTGAAATCTATAAAATTCTTACTGAGTATGACTTATTTACGGTGGCACAAAGCTGAGATGTGTGTGTTTCAATTTATCTCGCGCGCACGAGATTCAATGTTGTGGTCACGAGTTACTAAGGCGTGGCCACGAGATAGTTAAGTCGTCGGAACGAAATACTTTGTCGTGGTCACGAAGTACTTAGTCGTGGGCACGCGATTACTAAGTCGTGGAAACGAGTAACAAAGTTGTGGCCACGAGTTACTAAGTTGTGGACACGAGATAAATGAGTCGTGGGAACGAGACACTGTCGTTCGAATGAGAAACTATGTCGTGGCCACGATTTACATAGTCGTGGGCACCAGATGATTAAGTCGTGGGAACGAGATACCATGGCGTGGCCACGATAAACTATGTCGTTGGAATGATGTAGCTAAGTCGTGCGCACGAGATAATTAACCAATTAGATCACGACTTAGTACCTCGTGGTCACAACATAGTATCTCGTGCGCACGAGATAAATAAAACACTCACATGTCATCTTTGTGCAAACGTACTGATTTGAATAAAAGAATGAATAAACTATGTATGGGACACTGCGTTCCCTATTACGGGTCAAGCAAAGTCGGTTTAAAAAAAACAAACAAAAAAAACCCCCCCAAAAAAAAACAAACAAACAAAAAAAAAACAAGAAAACAAAACTGCCTTTTTAATGACACTAACATATACTTAGTGTGTATCAGTGCTGTTCTATAGAAATTAGAAACTTCAACGGTAGCGACAGGAGAATGTTACTAATTTATAGGGCTGGAAACGAATAAGAAATTTGATGTTCGAATATTCGTTTTCACAACATTTCTCTTTTACGTATACGTAAATTGATTGCATCAAATACTATACTATTTTAATATGCACGGAAATATCGACAAGTAAGATACTTTTATTACTTTGTCAATGTTTTTGTTGATTGTTAATCGATATATGTATTTAAATTCTTACTTTTGAAATAAATTCATAATTTGATTGTCTTTCATTCAATTTATCCGACTGCTGATCGTTTCACTAAGGATAAACGGGAGGTAACTCACGTTACTTGAATGACAGTAATATGAATCAGCATAGACTGAATATTTGTTTAGGTAGCACTCCACACTAAATTTCAAGTTTCTGCCGTCAATGTCCTACAAGCAATATGTCTCATAAATCTGATCTCAAACTACACAACCTGGAAAAAGAAAACACATTTTGTTAAGAACATATATGTCATACCATTGCAAATCTGTAATGAAATCATCCCATGTGCAACAGTCAGGCAGTTAAAAAAATTCCAATTCATTCCGTAAAAGCCAAAAATCTATAGTGGTCCGAGACCCAAAACAACATTTTTCGTCCCTCCGGCAAAAAATACCTGCAAATATACGGTCTACAGAAACTCTGTCACTGCTTTAGCAACTCCCTATGCATGCAAAATATCACAAAGAAATAGGTGCTTGGCTTGTAGATTTTTTGCTATTGCTGAAAGTTTGTACCCCCCTGTAAAATTACTTGTTTTCACCGAGCATGCTGTTTAAAAGCAATGTTTACAAACAATGGCGACCTTGACATCAATTATTATCAGCATGTGATTTCTAACCATGTTTTCGAATTTGCCAATGATCATATTACATGTCACAAAAACAAATTTCATGCTGAAAATGCATTTTAAAGACAACCAGTCATTTAAATCCACAATAGTCACTATATCCATGAAATCCTCCCTGGCCATTCGAAGCTGCGGCTTCATTTAGTGTGGTGTGCTGCCTTAATTATGTTACCCTCCTTTTGCAGTCTTTCAACTTTTATTTGTTCCTGGGTCACACCAGTACTTGATTACAGTAATTAATGTGCATTGTTGCACAAAACTATCTTTTCCGGACATTACGGACATGCAGTATACATGTACATGTATAGTTAGAAATAATTAAATAAAATAACAACAAGATCTTGATCATAACTTTAATAACATGTAATTAAACAGTATAATCAATGATAGCATTCTTTTATTGCAAAACATATCATGGTATCATAGTAATATCAACTCAAATATAGTATCCAAACAAACATTATTTTTCAGGCTTCTTAACATATCATGGTATCATGGTAATATCAAGTCAAACATAGTATCCAATCAACGTATTTTTCACGCTTTATAACTATAGTACTTAACTGTCATTTGATATAAAAACATGATAGTATCATATTCAATAGCTAGTGAGTCAATTTCACTCTTCTTCACATCAATTTTCAGTTGTTATTTAATTAACAAGAGACATTGACCTTGTCTTAAACTCCACCCTGTTGTTATTGAGAAATATAACTGTGTCCACAAAGTCACTAGACAAACTGTTCCTAAGTTTGTTCAAGAGTGTGCCGGCACAGCTGAACACACGTTCGGAAGGTACGGAAGTCGCCGGCACACTCAGAACACTCTTTGCTACATGTGAAATTTTTTAGAAACGTACTTCCTTTTTCTTTCCACCACACAAGTGGATCACAATCCGGTACACTTTTCTCACATAAGTACATTTGTAATTCATCCTCAATTTCTGAACGATCAGGTGATCCATAATCTATGAAGTCCAGTTTTCTAGCACGTTTTGGAGTTTGTTCACAGTTCTCGGGTGGATTGACGGGTAGACGTAACGGAAGATCGTCCAAACGAGACTCGAGGATAGCATGAGTTTTCTTCCGTTGCTCAGAGGTGAAGAACGTTAGTTTCTTATGTCGGGGGTCAAGCAATGCCCCAAGTGCTGGGAGGGAAGTCGGAGCTACATGACCTGTAGGTCCGTAACGAGACATGAGATCGTCACGGATCAACCGCTTAACCTCGGGGGCGGTGGCACTATCATCTGTAGACTCTACCAATCTCTTACTGACTAATCCACTGACAATGGGATAAATTTCAGACACTGACACATTTTTCTCTGTACACATATACTCAGCAGTAGATTTGAAGGGCGCAAGAATAGAACACAACTCTGATAATAAATTCCAATCAGCGTTTTCTAAGTAAAGTTCACAGTCGGCCTTCTTTATTAACTTTGGATCTAACATAATATCGGAAACAACGCGGCGTTGCTCCAGGAGACATGACATCATGTCATATGTAGAATTCCAGCGTGTGGCGACGTCCTGGAAAACGTCCTTAGGCACATTATCCATTGATTTCTGACGATAAGTGAATACAGCAGTTAATGTAGTACTATGCTTGAAATGCCCAACAAGCTTACGGCACTTTGAAACCACACACTTCCGGAACTAAGAATGCAGGTTTCATGCTCAACTGGAGTGTGTGAGCAAAACATCCTAAGTCACCCCAGTCCTTACACATATTTCCAGCACTTTGAATGTTCCGAGCATTATCATGAACACAAGCTTCCACCTTATCACTTAACTTAAACTCACTTACACAGTCCTTTAGACGTTGTGCGAGGTTTGCGCCTGTATGAGGCTCTGGCATAGCACGTGTTATCAGCACATTGGATTTCAGCTCCCAACGAGTCTTAATAGTTTTTCTTGTCGGCACAACGTAACCCGGAGCAACGATGTCCATAAGATTCTGAAAACCCTTACCCTCGACAATGCTAAGTGGAACCATATCGGAAACGATCATATCAGCGATAGCTTGTGTGCTTTTTTCGTTTTCGACCTTAGACTTCTCTGGCGTACATAAGAACGAAGCCACAGAACCAGGGGGTCGAACGTATAGCGGTGCGATACTCCTTTAAGCGAGGTGAATTCATGCGATACGCCCTAATGGCGTACGGGAGCGAAAACGAAAGTGGGTATGAGCATGTTTTTTTCCAAATATTTGTTGTCTATTGTAATTTTTTGAAAAAATAGCATTGTGCGTGCTGATCAGAACTTATAATTGTGCATGATTGTCAAAATAAAATACTAAATTTTATGGAATTGAGGAAGTTATTGAGGTATTTGTTGCTGCAAATTCAACTGTCAACCTGATATGCACATGCAAACGAATAATGTATCAGTCGTTTTAAAACGAGATATTCGATTAGTTTAAGTCCAAACATGTTTATTTTTGAAAACAAAACGATAAACAAGAGTAGTTTTCCATATCTATCGAACATATATAAAATATTTCCAGTTTTCTTACTGTACGCCTTATATTTGGTCCGATAAACCAACTGTACGCACAAATGTTAGTATGTTTTTCTGTAGCAACTTCCTCATTACAGTACATTCTTATTCAATTTTGATGAAATATCAAGTTTTGAGTTTGCATGTTTATCATATGTAAACCACAGTGTCAATTAAAACAACAGTGTCAATTAATGTATTATACTATGATAAAGTTAATTTAAATATTCTTTTCTCACAAAGGTTATTCATTAAAATGAGATAAGTTATGCACAGAAATTTGAAATTCCACCAAATAATCAATAGTCACGATAATATTCGTTTTGTTTCTTTCATTTATTTATTTTTTGCAATGGAACTTGAAATTTATAAAAAAAAAATTACTGGTTTGATTTCCTCTATAGATTGGATGTTATATATTATATACAGAGCACATCATTGTATTCCAGTAATTCTGATGTTTGTCATTAGCTCTGTCGCTTTGAATATATAACTATACTACTCCATAACCAGTGTATTCCAAACAGCTTTGTGTATTTGCTTATGAAAGCATTCATACTTTTAGTGATTTAACATATCTGCCAGTAGTTTTACTTTTAAAACTAGGCTTTCTCTGCAACATTTAATGTATAGAATTACCCCTCACTTTTTTTGTAAATACATGTATTCATTTCCACTAGGAGTTACTCTTATTGTTAAAGCAAGTGTACCAAGATATTTGTACTGTTACAGGCCAACAGCACTTTTTAACAGTATAAAATCTGGGCAAGTGTTTTTTTTATGTAAATAAAAGTATTATAGATTACAGTATCTGTTCGGGAAATAAAATAAATAACACACAAGCGTTTGTGAGTAACAGTAAAAATATCAACCCTCCTAAAAATACTGTTTCCCTCGGCTAACACCTTGGCTAACAGTATTTTCCTTGAACCCATGTGTTATTTTTATGACGGCCGGTGTAAGGAAAAACAATGCCATATGTGATTAAATGGTCAGTGAATGACCTTATTTATTTTAAACATAATGAATTATAATACAACATATATCATTAAACACACATACAGAATTTTAAACATAGAATAACTAAATACATGTACATCAAACATATTCGTGTAAGTTGATATATAAACAATTTTGTGAATATCGTAAAAAATGATGTTCCTTTAACATAAACAAATAAAAATGTGGAGGTTTTCTTTTAAAAATGGCCATTAATAACACAAGATAAAGACTTTAGAAAATGACACCATAAATTGGATGTAAACAAACCCTAAAGCTATATACAAACTAAGTTGGAGTATAAATTCTTTAGTAAAATATTTTGAAGCATAGGCATACTTAAAGGTATCAGATTATGTTTGTAAATTTTTATAAAGTGTGGAGTTGGGATGGTGGTGGTTTAAAAATGCAAAATTTTCTTTGTTGAGAGTGTCCGGCCGCATCGTAACTGGTTTAAACCGGTTCTCGGAGCGGCGTGCTGATAAGGGTTAACGATTTTCATTGGCCGAAATTCTTTAAGGAATATTAACGATTTTCCATTGGCCGACAGTCTTTAAGGGTCTAGCACCCGTTATCCCGTTCCTTTCACCTGCCTTACATAAAAATCGCTTTGCAAAACATAGCTTAATTTATGACGGCCGGTGTATAGGAAAAACAATGCCATATGTGATTAAATGGTCAGTGAATGACCTTATTTATTTTAAACATAATGAATTATATACAACATATATCATTAACACACATTACAGAATTTTAAACATAGATAACTAAATACATGTACATCCAAACATATTCGTGTAAGTTGATATATAAACAATTTGTGAATATCGTAAAAAAATGATGTTCCTTTAAAACATAAACAAATAAAAATGTGGAGGTTTTCTTTTGAAAATGGCCAAAAGATAGGGCTCACTGAGACCTATCTCCGCCACATTTCTTACATGAAAAATGTTAAAAAACATAATATTTGTTTTGATAATTAAAAAAGACATATGTGACTAGAGTAAGTAGAAAAAGAATATCTTATTAATTAAATCCGTAATTGCAAAAGACTAGAATATTGTCATCACAAAATTTTGTAAGCTTTGAAAAATATCCACTGCTAGAAGCTCCAATATATGATTTAACACCATATTTGTATGATATATATAGTGCATTCGTTATAAGGTACTAGCCCCTGCAAGTAGCTTAAACATGGATCACCAAATGAAGAGTTTATGTATAAAAACTTTATTGCCATAAAATAACCCTTAAATATTATCATAATAGACTACAAGTCTGTGAACATAAAATACTAGATATTTCTATAACAAACATTTCTAAATAGTTTTGAGAAATATCAACTGCAAGCCAGCTGCAAAATGAATATTTACATGTATGATATATAGAGTACATTCGTGTATGCTACTAGCCCCTGCAAGTAGCTTTAGAATGAATCAACAAACTCGCAATGTTATGGAAATAATCGACCATATCATCTTTTAATATTACCATTATAGGACTACCAGTATGTAAATGACTAGAATATTTTCGTTACAAACATTTGTACATAGATTATGAAAATATCAGCTGCAAGCAGCACAAAAATTTAAAAAATTTATTTATCTACATTTTATAATATAAGAATAAACTTCATCATAAAACTACTAGCCCCTGCAAGTAAGCTTAATAAATCACGAAAGATATGGCGCTAATTATAGAAATTATTACATATAAAAATCATTCATATAGGCTACCAAGCCCCTGCAGGTAAGCCGTATATGAAATATTATAGATACTGCTAAGAAAAGTTTTTTATTAGCTACTAGCCCCTGCAAGTAGCTTTCATTAATGGTTTGATAGGGCCATATATTATAGCCGATAGAATTATTCATGTTAATAAGGTAACTGGTAATTCTGGGCGAAGGTCATAATCCAACGGGAAAATTATATATTCGGTTGTTTTTTCAACACTCTGTTACTCTTATGTATTTGCGGAAAGCGTTACTATTCCATCTTCCTAAAAAAACGTATTTTTGCGTCAGAATAAACCTCGTTGAGCACAATCAGTGGCTTACATATTCTAAAACTATGTGATTTATACCTATCAACTATTTATGCCACAAAAAACTTAAAGTTGATTTGAGCTGTTTTGTCAAATAATTTCCTGGGAACTGGTTGACCAGGAGGGTAATGAAAATAGGGGGCCTGGGGATTGACCTCGCAGTGCAATGTAGTCATGCATCGCTGTAATAGCAGATGTCTTTGCATGACCCATGTGAAAAGGTGATTGTGTGAGGTTTACCGCAGTTATGTTTGTAGAAGCGGTATGTTACTGACAACAAATGATTGACCTGCTTCTGAAATAAAATTCATTATCTGATAATTTTAAAATAAATGGCTCGGTGGATGGTTTGCACTTAGTGATTTCACTGCATCTTGCAAATGCTTAAATGCAAAGAGAAACATGGCTGAGAACAGTTTTCTCATGATAGGATTGAACTTGTAATTTTTTAAAAAGCTGTTAGCAGCTTGTCCAAAAATTGTAGTAGTAATTGGTAGTCGGAGGTCATAAGACGGAGACAAACGTTGGGGTACCTTTGATCAGTGTAGATATCAAAAAGTGTTTTAGTGGGGTCATATTCTCCCGAAAGCTTATGACAAGCTAATGCCTGAAAGGTAGGTACAAATAGACTTTGAAGACTTGCTTTTTGGTGTAGAAAACCCAACAAATAAGGCTATAACTGAGACAGATATGGGAAGTGATAAAGGAGCTTCAAAGTATGAATTGCTAAATGTTTGAAAAAAGAGTCCAACTTCTTTTGTACGTTTCTAAGGTGGATGGAGCAAGAGAAAGCATTCAACAAATTTTCAACCCCTTGCAAAATGTCTGTGGTTGAAGCTGTGGTGCTTATTTTTGTTGGATTTGGCTTGCTGAATGGTGCCAGCTGCTTGAACTTGTCTATCTGAAAACGAGAAAGAGCATCTGCTATACAATTATCTTTGCCCTTCACGTGCTTTGCTAGGAAGACAATATTTTTGCTGAAGACAATGTAATACTAATTTTCTAATAAGAAACATTA